TTTCTTGATTTGTCATCTATAAATTTGGGCGGTATTTCCTATCATCTACTGTTTTTGATTTTAAGGCGATTTTACAGCGTTATCCCTTTAACACATCAACTCGTGAATCGTCAACCGTTTTCCTTGACGCCTTTTCCCCCAGGAACGACACATTCGAGTGTAATTGCGCAGGAAACCCCCAAAGACAACCGTTTCATTTTTTGTCAATTAAAACAGGAAAAGGTGTCGTCTGTGATTTTTTGAGGTTTTAAAAAGGATTCCCGCACTACCCCCCCTCAACCAAAATGATCACAAAACACTTGGGTTTTTCCCCAAACTTTACCCCACTGAAAGTCATTGGCCTGGCTTTTTCCCACTGAGTTTGAAAAAAGTGGGGATGGCAGTTTGAAGGCGTATGTTCTTCTGTGAGGTGTGTGATGGTAAAACCCACCCCCCCCCCCCCCGGTCCTCCCCCCCACCCGTGGAATTTTACGTGTGTCCCCTTTCCCCCGTTGACCATTACTTAACTCACGAAAACGTAAGACCGATAAGTTTTCTTTGGATTTTTAAAACCGGAGGGTTACCCACCCGGATAATCAAAAAAAAATCAGTCTTGTTTTCCCTTGGGGGTCCTCAATTTGTCCCCCAGGATGCGACCCACACCCGGAAATTAAAACCAGGACCTATTTTCTGCTAGGTGAACAGGACAACAGGGTAAGGGAAACATTTTGAAATGTTTCCCCCCCGCCGGGGGGCAAACCCAGCCCTCGTGTGTGAAGGAGAGCTTTAGCTACCGGCCCCCCCCAAACAAACCAATACACGGTGGGCTTGAACTCGCATCAGAGAGTAATAAAAATTTTCTTTGGGGAAAAACCCCTTAACCCAGGTAAAAAGGCGGGTATGGGAATTCAACTTAATTTTGGGGTCCCAACGTCCCCCAAAAACCCAAATCAAAACCCCTACCACTCAGGGGGAACCCTGAGGGGTCGGGGAATTTTCCCCCCCGGGGAATCGACCCCGGGTCCCGGGGGGGGGTTTTAAGGGGCCCCCCCTAGAAAACCCAAGCTTTTGCCCCACCCCAATAAAAGTTCACCCAAAAAGGGAATTTCTACACCATAGGAAGGTTTGCATAGGCCCCCCCTGTGACCAAAATGCAAGTTTTTACAGACGAATCTCCCGCCAGCTGGCCTGACGAAATCTAGCTCAAGTCCCCCCAAATCTGGAAAAGTATCCCTCCCTCCAAATTTAAAAATTTTGTATTTTTAGTTTAACCAAAAACTTCACCCTTATTTAGGGTTTTTTTGTGTTAAAATTTAAACCTGACCTAAATTTTTACTTGTGGAATATATTTAATTTTTTCCCAAACCATTACTTATTAAAGGGAGTTAGCCAATCAATGATTCTTGTCGGTTTTTAACCTCTCCCTTTTTTGCCTTTAGTGCCGCTCGGATCATCCCCTAAGGGAGTTTTTCACCAGCCAAGTCTTTGTTTCCCGCTGACGTAAATGGCAAAATGACTTTACTTCTCCTGTTATGAAATTTTATGAACAAAAGAGATTTTCTTCGGATTTTTAACCCGGAGGGTTTTCTACCCCCGGATAGCCCAAGAAAGTCATGTGTCTCCAGGACTGTCTGTCTTATTTCCCCTTTTGGTCCTAAACTTGTCCCCCGGTGCGACCCCACCCCGTCACAACACCCAGGTACCCATTTGCTGCTAGGTGAACAGGGCAACAGGTTTTTGGAAACAAAAATCGAAATGTTCCCACCCCCGCCAGGCGAACCAGCCCCGTGTGTGAAGGGAGAGCTTAGCCACCAAGCTGAACGCTGGTGTTTTATAAGTAAAAAAGCCCTTCCCCAGTTACTACCCACCACTGTGGCTCACGAACCCGGGTTTTAAAGCTTTTGAAAAAAAAAAAAAATATATAAATGGTTTTTTAAATGACCATAATTTTTAAAGGGGTGGACCGGTAAGCCGCGGAAGGCCTCGGTAGATGACCAAAAGCCCCCAAAAAGGGTCATCATCTGATAAGCCCGCGCAGGAAACTTTTGGCCCGTTTCCTGCGAACCTACCTAACCTAACCAACTGTTCTGACGGATTTTCAAGAATCAAGTTGTAAAGAATGACACTTGGTTATTTTATTTTCTTCACATGACAAGTCACGACTACCTGACCCACATTAACCTGGGCTCTTTTTCCAAAACCCTCTTAGGTTCACAGGGGAAAAACCACAACACCCCCACTACGGATTAATCTAGCCTCCCCCCTTGAAAATCATCCTGTTTAAAGTTGCAGTTTAAAAAATGTAGTGTTAAAAAACCCTTTGGCAAGCAGTGTGGGTGAATGATGGTGAAAGTTTTCTTTTTTTGGGAATCGGCCAGTGTGATAAAAAAAAAAATAAAAAAAATCCTGTAAATATTTTCCCTTTCCGTAACTTAACTTGAATTTTCTTCTCAGCTTCCGCAGAATTATCTGCATTTTTATTTATCTATTTTTTACATTTATAACGAGGAATCGCCAATATGAAATACTTTACGATTGATAAGGCTTTTCATCTTCACATACAACACACACAGTCATGGTTGATTAAACCCCGCCAATACTTCCCCTTGTCTGACTATAAAAAAAATGCAAAACAATCAATGAGAACACCCCGGGATTCCCTATATACCACATTTTTAATTTTTGAAAGAAAACTTTTTATTTCCCAAACATCAGATACCGTTTTTAAAACATATCCTCGTTCACTACCTCGGGGAAGCCCATTCAAAAACCCCGTACAGATGTCTTCCCGATTTCTTCTGCGCGCGGATTCTCCAGATAGAAAAAAAACTGGAAATGATTTCCCCTGAACGATCTATGTCAAGTAAGGCGGGGAAACAGCACTTCCCCCGCTCCATGGGATATACCCCCTTGCAAACCCAACCCGAAGGTTCCCGGAGGTTATTCCCGGGGTCAAAGCCCCCCCCGGGGCCCGGGCCATGACAGGCCCCCATTTTCCCAAAAAAATCTTAAATCACAACCCCAAAAACTTTGCCCTTTTAAATAAACAAATGAATTAAAAATGTAAAAACTAAGTCACTTACAGTTCCCAACTGTGATGATTCTGTTCCCCAATCACGGTTGCAGATGCCTATGATGAATTCAACGAAAATTTTAGCACGCATCAATAACTGGGTTCTATCCCTCAAACAACTGTTTTCCAAATCCCTTCGCTCAAATGCGTCCATAGGGACCCAAGCTGACACACTGATTCACTATCATCTACAAATCTGTAAAATCATTAATAAAATGAGGCATGTGGGTTGTGGACAGTGGAGTCAGGTGCACTTCTGTGGATTCTATCTCACACGGGTTAAATGCATGATATAAATATGAATGGGAAAGTTACATGCTTTCAAAAGTGTTGTAAATCTTTTCAGTAGCAGGGGGCCACAATCCATGGTGCATCCAGCAAAATAAAGCATCCTTTGGTGCATACTTTCCGGCTCTGACTGGGTTAAAGTATCTTTTGGGAGGTTAAATCACCACCACCCAAAGAGACGAAACAATGTAAACTTGCCGATGGACTTTAAAAAGTCACCCCCTGCGTCATTAGTTGGAAAAGAGATAAAATAAATGAATTCAGAGAAAAATCTGTTAAAGATATCGTATTTTTCCACAGTTATATTACAAATATTCTGGAAAAAACCCTGATTTTGAATAAATAAAACTAAGAGTTTTGCATAAAACTGGTTGCAAATTTTGATCAGGTGTGGCGTGTGACTGGTTCACTACCTATTAATTTTTCAGTATCAAAATTTGCGTGCCCCTCACGGGCCCATAACTTTGTAAAACACCTAAATTACTGGCAAATTTGAAGTTCCTAACCCGTCTCCCTAGAAACAGGTGGAGAGATACCTTGGGAAAAACCTAGAGGGGTTAGACCAAAATTGCACACGAAAAAACCTCCTGTGAAAGTAAAAAGACTCGGCAGACGATCAACATCCCCCCCAAAGAAAAAAGGGTGCCACTAGCACGATAAGAGAAACTAATAAGTGTTGGGGCCCAAGACTGTTCAATGCCACCCGTTACAAAGGATGATTACCAAAGACCCCCGGCGTCTTCAAGAAGGGGCTGGAAGGCACCTAAAGCCGTACCTGACCCGTCGGGATGCGGGTTTTACGTTTTAAAAACAATAACATCCATGGTTGAAAAGGCCCTGACCACCATGAGGCCGGTCAAAGGGCCGGGCCCCGGAGGCGTTTTTCCCCCCCAAACCCCCTCCCGGCATCTCCCGTCCCTGGGGCCCCATTATATACCCCTGTAATCTTTGAATACCGCCCCCCGGTGGGTATGGGCTTTTTAAAGGAATTTAAAAGAATATTCATGAATAAATATGCTGGTGTTTTTTGAGGGGAAAAAAGAGCATCTGATAAAAGCAACGTAAATACAATGGCAGAATAGATTTCACACGGAATGCATGTGTACTACACAGGAAGACACACGCACACTCAGTATCCAGGTATCTGGTAGCGAAGGATCTAGTTAGAGCGCTACGTTGTATCTAGAGCTAAGGGTTTTTCTAGTTTCCGTGAAGACTCTTGGTATCTTGCCAGACCTGTGTGTACCCAGTGTTTAAAACACCAACCCTTTATTCTTGCACCCTTGATGCTGCTAAAGGGCTCTTGATCCAAGGCACTGAAGTCATCCTGTTTCCCTTTCCCTTTCATTAACCCTGAGGAGAATCAAGCCTCCACAACGTCCTGAACTGAATGACCCACATGGGTTTAGAGCTTAATACGGATTATTTAAAATTATTTTATGCTCGTTACGGATTTAGCGAATTTACAATTAGTGTAATATTGAATATAATCATTACTATAATTAAATATCAACTTTTTACAAAAATATCGCTATTCCTCTGCGGAATATAGGAGGAATTCAGGCTTGATCCAAGGAAGGGGAGGATAAATCCAGCTCCTTGGATCATGAGACTCAACGGCATCACAATACAACCCTTCAGAGTAATTAATTGTTCTTACCTGGTTTTCAAGGTGGTTCTGCTCGTTTAAGAGTTTGTCGTCACACTTGGCGTTGTGTGTATGTCCTGACAAGCTTGCTTCACTATCATCACTATCACTATCATCACTATCACTATGTACAGGCGTCCTGGTGGCCTCAACGGTGCTAGGTTGCAGGCAGGTCACACTGTGCTGTTGAGCGAGTGTTTGCTGGGTATAAACACCATCAGTATTGCTCACTCTACTGCTGGTGGATACTTCACAAGATGGGGATGTGCGTGCGTCTTCTCGAGGTGAGGAACCGCTGTGCTGCAGGTTTTCATCAGACATGCGCATCTCCGCATACCTCTGTCTCCGTATGCGTCGTCGTCTTTCGAAAATTTCTTGGTATTGCTTGTCGGCCTCGCGGTTGTGACCGAGTGTTTGCTCTTCCTGTGTGTGAGAGACTACTGGTCGGTCTTCCCATCCACCTGGCTACTGTCTCCCTCAAGCCTACGACTTCTAAGTTGTCTCCTTCGGGCGAATATCTCCTCGTAACCCTTTTACTATTGACATCCTCGGACTGCGAGTCCCGCGTCTGGCTGCTGTCTTCAGTAAGTCTTCTGCGTCTTCTTGCCGTAATGGTTTCACAGTCTCTTTCACCTGGGAATCTTTATCTCCACTACAATGTTCCACCTGGCGGGTTTTCCTCGATGGTACTGGCTTCTCCTCTGCTTGTGATTCATGCTTTTCTGATTCTTCGAGACGCTTGCTTCTTCTCTTTCTCCTCTCAGCGACAAGCTCTTCAAAGGTCTTGAGCATATAGAATCCTTGCACACCACTCGACTCTCCTGGCAATTCATGTTTCCTTATTGCTTTCATCTTCCCGGCGTCGCCCTTCTCCTCACTGTCTCTCTCTCTTCCACTTTATTAATGCTGTTATTGGAACTTGGTTTATTCTCTCTCTCTCGTGTACGGTAACCATAATTATATTTATCTTCAAGATACGTTTCCTGATCTTTCATGGGACCCGTGTGAGAAACTTCCATGATCTCACCACTCTTATGATCTTCACATTTCTGGGACTGATCCTCCCGACTCGCTACATTGGAGGCCTCATCCACTTCCTCCTGCAGGGACTGACGATTTTTTCGTAACTCCAATAATTCGCTAACTTTTCTGAGTCTCTCCAGAACAAGTGGATTAAAGCCACTGTATAAATCAAAGTCAGCAGTGTTTTCAGTGGACTCCGGAGCTCCTGCTATTGTAATTCCTGACGGAGTTTCGACTGTTTTTAGATTTTTAATTCAGCAGCAGCAGTGTCAGGAAGGTCGCCCGAAGCAAGCAGGTGTCAGGAAGGTCAGCTGAAGCAGCAGTGTCAGTTGCAGCAGGAAGGTTGGAAGCAGCAGCAGTGTCAGTTGCAGCAGGAAGGTTGGAAGCAGCAGCAGCGTCACCTGCAGCAGGAAGGTTGGAAGCGGGCAGCAGCGTCACTTGCAGCAGGAAAGGTTGGAAGCAGTGTCTTCAGTAAGCTCCCGCCTCGACCAGCAACTTGGACACTTCTGGCGCCGTCTCCACACACACAGTCTCATTTCTGCGTTTTCTTTCAAATTTCTGACGTTCTAATTCCTCAATCTCACGTTCCTCTCTCCTCCTCCTCCTCCTCCTGCTCTCTCTCATTTCCTCTGTTTCCTCCCTTGATTCCCTGAGGTTTATTTTGATCCTGGTCATTGTATGCTTGCATCAGTTTCAGCCTCTCTTTCTCCTCACGTCGTCTCCTCTTTCTTTCTCTCTTTTCTTCTTTCCTTAATCGTAGTTCTTCGTGGTCCAACTTTTGTGAATCTGAGAGACAGTTTAATTTATAATTAGGTCTTTCTTCTTTCTCTCCCCCTTTACCTACCTCTTCTTGTTTTCCTTGCCCTTCTTCTCCTTCAGTGAAAATTTGTCTTTCTACCTCTTCCTTGTTTGTCTTCCCTCCTGCGTCTAATTTCTCAACACCAGTCTGTCTTTTTTTACAGTCCGTGCTAATTTTCGCTACTGATTGAATTGCTGGCTGCTGTGTTTATTTTTGTCACATCCTTCCGTTTCTATTTCGTTTCTTACTGTTTCTTCTCTGACTCCATCTCCTTCCTTCATCATCTCCATGATGTTCACCTCACTGATTGACTCTCTGTTTATTTTCTGTCACATCTCTTCGTTTTCATTTCCTTCCCGTCCACTGTCTCATTTTCGAGGCTGACAGTAGCGGCCCCAGCACCACCTGTCTCCCGGTTACCCTGCTGGATACCCTTTCCCGTTGTGAGGTGTGTATGGAGGTACTGGGAAGCTGGTGCTTCGAATACCCACAACCTCCCTTCTTCAGCGCCATCAGGACTCAACCTCCGGGTATCCACAGAGTCTTGCACTCTACTGGGAACCTCCTTATCACTATCCTGGTCTTCCTCTCCAGGCTGTCTTTCAGTGTTGACTTCAAGTTGTTTCTCTGGGGGCACCACGTTCCTAATTGCTTCTGGAGGGTCAGGAGCTTGCTCTTTTTATCTGCTATGAGGCTCATTAATACTGTGAGCTCATCATTGCTCGATGCTGACGTATCTTCCTCGACAGAATCTGACTTCGTGATTAGCTTTTCTTTCTGTTTTGTCTCATTTTGTCGGGTGTTTTTCGCATGGGTGACTGCCTTCACCTGTGACGTCAAGGATGCCCTCTGATGTCATCTTTATATTGCGGTTTGTCCTCGAAGTCGATGTTCCTTTGCTCTTCATACTGTTGTGTTTCTGTGTGGTTTTCCCTGTCGTCAAAATTTTATTACCTTTTTAGGGGCCTTCCCCCTTTTCCCCCATTTCCTTTATTGGGCCTCTTTTTTGGGGCCCCTTTTCTTACTCATCATTTAAATTTTATCAGAGAGTTTTTACCCCGAGTTTAAGGGTTTTGTCTATCTTCTCTTTTTTTTAATGTTCCTTTTCTTTCTTTGTCCCCGGTTTTTCTTGCCGGGTTTTTTCCGTTTATTTTTTTATAGAAACCCCCTTTTTCATTCTTTTTTTGGGTGATCCAAAAGGCCCACTGCCCTGGGCTCTCTTCCTAGTTTCCTTTGTTACCCTTGGAAAAAGTGGGGCCCCTTCATTTTATTAATTAAAAATACCTGGTTTTTTGCCCCCCACTCATCATTCGTTCCCCTAAACCCAAAGGGGCCTTCCCCAGAGGTCTGGGTTTTTCCTTTCCTTTGGGTTGTTTTTTGGCCTTTCTTTTTTGGGGGAAAAAGAAAACCCCTTTTCTTCCAAAACAGAAAAATTACGGCCCCTTCATCCTTTTTTGGCCTTGACCCTTCTTTTTTGGAAAAAAAATTTACGGGGTAAAAAATCCTTCAACAACCCCCCGAAGGAAATACGGGCCCCGTTCACCCCTTTGGCTTGACCCTTCGTGGAAATTGACAGATATATCCCCCACAACAAAAGGGATACTGGCTTTTTCATCCCTTGGTTTGACGCCTTTCGTGGAAATCTCAGATATATCCTCCAAACAAAGGAATACGGCTGTTTATCCCTTGGGCTTAACGTCACTGTCTGCCCTGATGTTATTTTCTGTTACACGATGATTTAAAGGGGTTCGGAAGCCCTCACCGGGGACTAAAACCCAAAATTTTCATTTGTTTACTCACACTCTTCCTTCGCTTCAACCCTTTTTGCCCCTCCACAGTTGTGGTTGTTTCCATCTGCTTTCCAGTGTTCCCAGATCTTTGATCCTTGGTTTGGCCTTCCTAGTGTGGAATGATCCAGAAGATAGCCAGACATTTCGGAACTTGCAACTCGTCCAGGGATCTAACAGATGATTCGTTCCTTTATGTCAAAGGTTTTCGCTCGCATCTCGACCTTCAATTTACTAGACTTGCGGTTCTTTTTTTTTTTTTTTTTTAGTTTCGTTTCTAGGATTTGAGTCGAAAGTTCGTCCGTACCTCGAGTTTTTAAGCGTAGTTTTGGTTCTGTGTTTGTGTTTCTTGTTTAAAAGGTTTTGTCACTTTCCCGTAGGAGTGCTGTTTGCGGGAATATCCACAAGTGTTTTTTGATTAAGATGTTCCACCTGTGTCTCTTAAGTTTTTCGCATGTGTCCATCTACAGGTGTCTGCCTGGAAGATGTCCACCTTGACGGTCATTCTGACTTGTCCACCTTGGGGTGTCAACTTTGACTGTGCCGCCTCAGGGCATTAGTTCTTTTCTCCCGCAATCGACCGATTTGTTACATTATTGTTTTAAAATCAAGTTATTACTGGAGTTGGAATCCTTCAACTTAACGTTTTCATACATCCCACACGACAGCACAAAGAGTTTCTTTTGGGAAGCGGTTTCCTTGCTTCTGACACGACTTTGTCCTTTATGTTCATTTTGAACTTTGCACCTTTACCTAATTTCACCCCGATTTTTTTTGCTGCATTGTGTCATACGGGTTGGGCAGGGACAAAGGGTGTTTTCTCTGATCGGAGCACGATTTTCCCAGACTCGCTTTTTGAGATAATGCTATGTGTTTTCCTCCTTTTCCCCGTGGGGGAAAAATTGTCGTTCGGGCTGCCCTTGCTCGAGGCCGCTTTTTGGTTTTCCCGCCTCCCGAGGACGGTGCTTGGTATCGACGGGGGTTTTTGTTTTTCCCCCCGGGAGGTGGCTTCCGTGGGGGGAGCGGGGTTTTAAGAGGAAACTCCTCTTCCAGCACAAAGTCCCTTCAATCACGTTTTTGTTTTCGCGTACCCCCCCCGAGTGGGACTGTTTTGGGCCCCGTGTTTTGCGAGGTTGGGCGGGGGTTTTTGGGGGGGCCCCCCCGGGGGGGGGGGGGGCGGAGCCGGGTTTCCCCCGGATTGGCCCCCTTTTTGCGAGGGTCATTTAAATTTTTGGGTTTTGGGGAGGGGGGAGGTGACAGCCGGAATTGGCCCTTTGGGTTCGACCCCCCGGAACCTGCTTTTATTACAAAAGTATCGCCCCCCCCCCAATGCTGTTCCCCCTTTCCCCCCCTCCCCCCCGGGGCTCCTCCAATTCTGGGGGGGGGCCCCGTGAAGGCACTTTGGATACCATGGAGCGAAGGCCACGTAGTACATGTTGTCGAGGGCCCTGACTGTGGCATTGGTTGTGATGGAAAAAGTTGGTATTCTAATGGGGCAAAAAGGACGATGAGTGGACACGGTGACTGTGTATTCACCGAGTGACGGGGGGTGTGGAGGAGGTAGGTGAATAACTTTTAAGGTGACTGTGTGTTCACCTGAGTGACGGGGGGGGGGTTTTGGAGGAGGGGAGGTGAATAACTTGAAGGTGACTGGGGGGGGACTGAAACTTAATACCGTGGAAGGTGGGGTTTGGGGGGGGGGGGTAAATGGTGGAGGAATTGGGGCGTGACAGCTGCAAATACCTGGGGGGCAAAGGGGTGAAACGCTTTTGACTGGGGTGTTGGGGGGTGACAGAGGTACTGTTGTTGCTGCTGACGCCCAAAGAAGTCCCCGCCCAAAGGAAAGCTACGACCTTGGTGCATCCTCCTGGGTACAGGCAAGGGGAGCGGTGTTTTGTTTCCATGAAGGGCGCGTCCACCACGTCACTAACAACCTCACCCCCTTCCTTCATGTGGGACGATTTTGAGCTTACACCCGCGACGCACTCCCCGTCTCCCCAGACCCCTTTAGGATAACTGCCCAGCCCCGCTTTACAAAAACAATAGACAGCGGGCAACAGGGCCCAAAGGGCTCTTTCCCCTTTTTTCTCTCTCCTACTACCCCCTTCAAACAGAATGTCCTCGGTAAAAAAATCTCCACGGCCTGAGGAACACCGCGCCACCCCACACTTTAATTCTTACCACCGCCTCCCCCCCCCCTCCCGGAGTTGGACCTTCTGAAGTACTCAGACCACCCGAGATCGCCAGGGGCATTCTTGTTTAAAAAAAACTTGGGTGATAGTTCATCAACCTTGGGTGGCCACAACAAGTGCTCTCAGAAACCCGGGGGAGGGTAGTTGAACGTAAACTGCGTCCCAATGATGTTTTCCGTCCCGGCTCCCAATCTATACAATAGTAATAATAAAAACACTACTAAAATAATTTCTTTATGCGGTACAAATGCGTAGTTTACACCACTGACACAAGGGAGGGAAAAAAACAAAGCTGATAATTTGCAATGCGAGGCGGAGTTAGGGAGTCTTTCTTCATCTGCATCCCCATTCTACCTGCAGCCCCATTCTACCTGCAGTCCCAAGTCCCTATTCTACCTGCGTCCCTATTTACCTGCAGTCCCCATTTACCTGCAGTCCCTATTCTACCCCGCAGTTTTTTCCCTTTCTACTCAGTCACTATTTTACCCGCAGTCCCATTCTACCCGCAGTCCCCATTTTTTTTCCTGCAGTTATTCACCTGCAGTCCCTATTCTACCTGCAGTCCCTATTTACCCGCAGTCCCCACAAACCCGCAGTCCTATTTACCTGCAGTTGGGTAATGCACCTCCAGTCCTATTCTACCCGCAGCCCTATTCTCCTGCAGACTATTCTACCTGCAGTCCCTATTCACCCGCAGTCCCTATTTCCCCGCAGTCCCTATTCTACCCGCGTCCCTATTTACCCGCATTGATAATGCACCTGCAGTCCCTTTCTACCTGCAGTCCCTATTCTACCTGCAAATCATATTTACCTGCAGTCCTATTCTACCTGCAGTGTGGGGGTTTTGGGGTTGTGTGTGTGTGTGTGTGTGTGTTTTGTGTGTGTGTATGTGTGTGTGTGTGTATTTTGGGTGTTGGGTGTGTGTGGGGTGTGTTGTGTGTGTGTTATGTGTTTTGTGTGTGTTGGTGTGGTGTATGTGTTGGTGTGTTGTGTGTTGTGTGTGTGTGTGTGTGTGTGTGTTAGGGGGTGTGGGGGGGTGTGTGTATTGTGGTGTGTGTATGTGTGTGTGTGTGTTTGTGTGTGTGTGTATGTGTGTGTGTGTAGTGTGTGTGTGGTATGGGTGTGTGTGTGTGTGTGTGTGGTGTTGTTGTGTTGTGTGTGTGGTGTTTTATGTGTGTGTGTGTATTGTGTGTATGGTGTGTGTGTGTGTATGTGTATGTGGTGTGTGTGTGTATGTGTGTGTGTGGTGTTGTGTGTGTGTGTGTGTGTTGGTATGTGTTTTTTGGTGGTGTGTGTGTGTGTTTGTGGTGGTGTGGTGTATGTGGTGGGGTGTGTTTGGGGTGTGTGTGTGTGTGTATGTTGTGTATGTGTGTGGTGTACTCCCCTATTTTGGTTGCAGGGGTCGAGTCATAGCTCCTGGCCCCCCCCTCTTCGCTGATTGGTGTGTATGTGTTGTGTGTGTATTGTGTGTGTATGTGTATGTGTGTGTGGTGTGTGTGTGTGCGTGGTGTGTATGTTGGTGTAGTGTGTGTGTGTGTGTGTGATGTGTGTATGTGTGTGTGTGTGTGGTGTGTGTGGTGTTGTGGGGGTGTGTGTATGTGTGTGGGGTGTGGTATGTGTGTGTGTGTGTGTTATGTGTGTGTGTTGTGTGTGTGTGTGTATGGTAGTGGTGTAT